GTGTTATGGAGTATTAATAACAAGTGAGATTTTTCCTGTCCAAGATCCTCCTTAAAGTTATTAGATAAATACTCAAGAATGAACTACAATGCAAAAATGGTTATAAGAACATAGACATCACGAGTCTTGTCATCAAATAAGTAGCAGAATAGTGGAATTCGTTGCACTGAACACTGAGCTACTGAACCCATGTCGTAGCTCAGTCGATTAAGGCAGCGTCTGTGATCCTCTAGGACGTAGGTTCGAACCCTCGTCACGGCCCTTGTGGTTTTGTTCATGTGGAATTCGTATTGACAATATGTCACTTCAATACCAACAAGAATCGTAAATATAAATTCGTAAAAATACAACAAGGTGTTGAATGAAATAGAGGCGAAGACTTTGCTAATCAGAAATATTCGTTGGTATTAAGTATACTTGCTGGTTGGTCGGTAAGGTATTGTGGTGGCGTTAGTTTTGTTTTCTTTATTAAATAATCTACAATATAAGGATCATGTTTACATCAATTTACAAAGGTTAAATACTACATTTATATATAGCTTGTGTAATTCTCAGTAAACCAATTTTTCATATCATTACAGAGCATGAGCCGTAAACCCCAAATGTTATACTTGATCCTAGAACTTCAATATACTCGCAAGAACTTCAATATTTTGTCTACTGAATAACCCTTCTGGCTGCCTATCCACACACCAAATAATATAATCAGAGAGTAACATAATTATTGCATTCTTAATTTTCTTGCATTTTATGTCAATATGACCGTTCAATTGCAAATGGTTTGCTCAAGACACCATTGATATACACGCTGCTCCGACACTGTTTATAAAGCATACAGATCCAATCAATAAATTCTTGTGCCACTCCTACACTCCAATATTTCTAAAACAAACTGAACATCAACACGGTCAAAAGCTTTCGACGTAAGTGGCTCTCCAGAAGTTGATCTTCAGCCTAACATCAAACCAAGTTTTAGGATGTTGTTGATGTAAAACATTGCACGGGAGTGATCCCTCAGAATTTACATTATTCATATTCTATGCATAATTATTGTAATTATTTTTATTATTAATATTTTATTATTAATTTATTACTTAATTTTGGGGGTTGACTAAGCGGCATCGATAGCAGGGGAAGTTATCGTATTGGCATTGCAATCCAGAAGCCCCGAAGTTCGAATCTCGGCGAAGATGTAGCTCATCTTTAAATCCTGTGCCAGGTAGCTTCCGACGTCTAACAATAGCCTCGCCCCAGCAGCATGACTAATTCACACAATGATAGAGATACAACTTTCCTACTACTTTTACTCTGTGGTTGGAACTCCCAACCTAAAATCAGGTCGGCTTGTAAGCATCGTTTCTTTCCATGCGTGTTAGTACTGAAGTAGCCAACGTACCGTAGATGACCTAGTGAAGGGCTGGCCTACCTGCCTTGTGAGCTCTCTGCGTAACCCTAGCGTTATTTGGTACTATTTTTCACCGTTGTTGCAACATCGTAACAACGTAATTACGTTGTATGTTTGGTGGATATGTACACACGTGCACACTAATTGTTATCTCGAGCTGAGATAATAATACTGTCACTTCCAGTGCAGGCATTATTTATTCCAGAGTTTGATAAGACTGCTAAGACTCTAAAGCCTTTCTAACACTAAGTTATTCATCGTTAAAATACCCCATAAAAAATTAAACTAATTATAAACGTAACTGGGACGTTGTTTACAGTTTAATAATTATATGATTTAGCTTCGAGAGGAAGTTCGATGCACAGCAATGCTGTATGCCCGGGAGTGTGTGCAAATATTCTCTCTCATATTCCTCAATAATATTCATATTCCTCGTAATATTCCTCACCTCTGTTGCTGTTGTCCTGTTGCACGGACCCTGCAAGGTCTCGTGCACACGACAACAGCAACAGAGGTGAGGAATATTACACAAGGTAGCCAGCTGGCACCCTGCATGCTGGCCCTACTCTGGTGTGGCTCATATTGTTTTCATCTTAATAAAGTAAGGGATGTTTACGCAGTCTCTACCTCTTTCTCTCTGCTTTATTCTATGTCTCTCTTTTATTTTATTTTTTTTTTCAATTTATTTTGCTCTCTCTCCCTCTCCTCCCATTTGTTTCTATCTCGTTTTCTCATTTATTTTCTCGATTTATGTTTTCTTTATTTTTTACTCTCTCTCTCTCTCTCTCTCTCTCTCTCTCTCTCTCTCTCTCTCTCTCTCTCTCTCTCTCTCTCTCTCTCTCTCTCTCTCTCTCTCTCTCTCTCTCTCTCTCTCTCTCTCTCTCTCTCTCTCTCTCTCTCTCTCTCTCTCTCTCTCTCTCTCTCTCTCTCTCTCTCTCTCTCTCTCTCTCTCTCTCTCTCTCTCTCTCCCGTCCTCTTCCCTTCCCATTCCGCGTCCACAACAACAGCGATCACTCAGGCGGGAGGGCTGTAGTGGGGGAACTGCTGATTCGTTATTGCCTAGTATTTTGTCCTGATATTTCTCGCGAAAATGAACACTTAAATATATCATACGACTTATTTTACTCTAAATTTGTATATATATATATATATATATATATATATATATATATATATATATATATATATATATATATATATATATATATATATATATATTACTGAATGTTACTGGATCAGTGATGCTAGCGCAAATCTTCCTATATTTCGTATGTTCTTCTCTGAATAGGAAGTTGAGAATTAACATTTCAAACTTCAATTTACGGTTTAATTAAAGCCTAACGCTAAAAGATGCGTTTCTCGTTCAACCTGACAACATTTTAAAAGGCAGTGATAAAGTGTATACAAGTCAGCTTGAGCAAACCTAATATATAAGATATATATATATATATATATATATATATATATATATATATATATATATATATATATATATATATATATATATATATATATATTAGTGTACAGTATTTTGATAGGCGTCTTTCTTGTAAACATATGTTGTTGAATATGATCAAAAGGGTAAGATTTATGATTCTAACACGAATTTTCTCAAAATTTCTTACGTTTCTCTTCACTGTCGAGGGAAGTTGAAAAATTTTGATCTGACGCCTAGGGATGCCATCTGGGCGAAGTGCAGAGTCATTTGGGTTTTGGTCCACTAGGATGCGGGGTTCTCCAATGGGGAGGGGCAAGGTTTCTCTTGATGATATCATTCACCTCGTTGTCTTGCATACCAACCCTTGGGGCTTCCGCAGTGCAACCCATGCAGTCCATATGGGTCTGCTTCCACTCTGTTGCAAATGCACTTGTATTCGGTGTGAATTGGGGCTCCAAGGCGGAGGGCCATTGCTACACGAAGGGACTCTGGATCTAGACGCGCGCGTGCTATATATAAATTAGTGTACCTTGCTGTCCCTTTATGATAATGCATATGCTAATTCTCGTAACAAACACGAGAGAATGAAATTATTCTCGGTTCACAGGCCCTTGCAATAAAGTTTTTTTTATTGCTGCTTTTAAATCTTCAAACTGGCACACTGCCTCGACCAAACATCTATTCATCCTATCCGTCGCCTCCAGACCAGCAACTCCTCAGGTGTCGACACAATGGAACAAATTTAGAGGAACTCTGCAGGCTCTCATCATTAGCTCTCAGAATTCTCCAGGTTTTCTTTTCTCTCTGCCAATAACACGTAATTATTTCTCAGATTTTATCCCAGTATAAAATGCGAATCGTGCCGTGAGGCTGAGAGAGGTTGTAGGGCCTGTGATGGAGAGTGTGTATCTCTCCTCTACTATAACTACCGCTCAAGCACTCTATGTTCATTATAACTACCTCTCAAGCACTCTATGTTCATTATAACTACCTCTCAAGCACTCTATGTTCATTATAACTACCTCTCAAGCACTCCATGTTCATTATAACTACCTCTCAAGCACTCCATGTTCATTATAACTACCTCTCAAGCACTCCATGTTCATTATAACTACCTCTCAAGCACTCCATGTTCATTATAACTACCTCTCAAGCACTCCATGTTCATTATAACTACCTCTCAAGCACTCCATGTTCAATATAACTACCTCTCAAGCACTCCATGTTCATTATATCTACCTCTCAAGCACTCCATGTTCATTATATCTACCTCTCAAGCACTCTATGTTCATTATATCTACCTCTCAAGCACTCCCTGTTCATTATATCTACCTCTCAAGCACTCCATGTTCATTATATCTACCTCTCAAGCACTCCATGTTCATTATATCTACCTCTCAAGCACTCCATGTTCATTATATCTACCTCTCAAGCACTCCATGTTCATTATAACTACCTCTCAAGCACTCCATGTTCATTATATCTACCTCTCAATCACTCCATGTTCATTATATCTACCTCTCAAGCACTCCATGTTCATTATATCTACCTTTCAAGCACTCCCTGTTCATTATATCTACCTCTCAAGCACTCCATGTTCATTATATCTACCTCTCAAGCACTCCATGTTCATTATATCAACCTCTCAAGCACTCCATGTTCATTATATCTACCTCTCAAGCACTCCATGTTCATTATAACTACCTCTCAAGCATTCCATGTTCATTATAACTACCTCTCAAGCATTCCATGTTCATTATAACTACCTCTCAAGCACTCCATGTTCACTTAGAAAAACAAGATGTGTCGGAAACTCACATGTCGCACAATGAGAGGAAAAAAATGTCTTCAGAGTTTTGGACAAGGAACTCGGCTTTAAATCTTCAATTCTATAGAATTGATCCTTTGAAGACAATTGTACCATTCCACATGCTGATGTACGAAATGTGGAAGTTGTTTCGGACCTTCTGAACTATCACCAAGTAGTTAGTTGCCTGCTAATGGTCCAGGATTGACCGAAAGGTCGAAATTATTAACTCTGATTCTAGAATTTGCTGAAATTGTTAGTCATTCACCCCTACCTGATGAGTGAGCTTGACCGTAAGACGTAAGGTTGAGAGTGAGGGACTAATAATAGAGAGGTTCAGGAGGTCTCACCTAGGAGAGGCAACATGCCAGCACCCAGCAGCAGCAGGAGGAGGGGGGCAGGCGGCACAACAGCTCTCATCCTCAAAGCGTCGACCTGCAGGAAGTGAAACCCAATATTACCTCCCATGCGAATAATGTTATACATTTTTTTTATTTCTTACAAACATTTTGACACCTTTAGTCGGCCGTATACTAATTTCATCTTCAGTTTGTCCATAAGAACTCTAAACTTAAGTATTCTAGAAGAACATTAATAACAGACTTAAACGGGACAGGAGGAAATAGCTATAATTGTAAATTAGAATGGCTGTCTTTCTGGGGGTTGCTAGCCCCGACGCCCGTGGCTAGCCTCGCACAACTGTTCACTTCTGTTTGGGTCGGAGTTGGCCCAAGGGCCACGAGTGCCATTTGGCTCAGTAATCATTAGAACCCCCAAAGGACGATTCGTAGAATATCATTACTATTCTTTGGATAATTCTTATTTTTTTCCTGCTTGTTTTTCTTTCTTTGAATAACACACAACGTTTTGCATTCATGTTTTCAAAATCAAATTAGAGTTTATGATACTTTGCTTGTGATTAGTTATAATATGAGAGCGATCTTATTAGCACGGTTGGTGGTCAGCGAATACCCTCATGATGAGTACATCCACCACACCTGCCTCTACCTGGTATACAGCACACCACCACCACCACCACCACTACCACCACCACTACCACCACTACCACCACCACCACTATCACTACCACCAACACCACTATCACTACCACCAACACCACTATCACTACCACCAACACCACTATCACTACCACCAACACCACTATCACTACCACCAACACCACTATCACTACCACCACCGCTACAACCACCACCACCACCACTATCACTACCACCAACACCACTATCACTACCACCAACACCACTATCACTACCACCAACACCACTATCACTACCACCAACACCACCACCAGCACCACCACCAACAGGCACTCTGTCAGCCCGGGTTGCTGCACCTGTAAATGGCTACAAAATCTTATTTGAATACTGATGCTTGCCTCACCCAGAGGCAGCTGAGTTAGGAGTCGAGGGTGGAGATTTGGCGGGTTTTTTTCCTACCACAGATGTAGCCACACATTTACAATGCTAACCAACATATATACATTTTTGTCTGCCCTCCTTGGACAGGGTTAGAGATCTGTTAAACATATAGGTCAGTGATTTATTGAACAATCAACCGCAGGAGAAGAGTGTAGTACTTTTAAAATGCTAGTAAAACCGACATACATAAATTTACGTCTGTCCTACATAAACAGTGTTTGAGGTGTGTTCTTTTATACATAATATGATTAATGTGTGCTTACACAGGTGAAATGCAATTTTGACCAGCTTACAAATATACACTTACATACATACAATATATATATATATATATATATATATATATATATATATATATATATATATATATATATATATATATATGTCGTACCTAGTAGCCAGAACTCACTTTTTGGCCTACTATTCAAGGCTCGATTTGCCTAATAAGCCAAGTTTTCCTGAATTAATATATTTTTTCTAATTTTTTTCTTATGAAATGATAAAGCTACCCATTTCATTATGTATAAGGTCAATTTTTTTTATTGGAGTTAAAATTAACGTAGATATATGACCGAACCTAACCTAACCTAACCTATCTTTATAGGTTAGGTAGCCGAAAAAGTTAGGTTAGGTTAGGTTAGGTAGTCGAAAAACAATTAATTCATGAAAACTTGGCTTATTAGGCAAATCGGGCCTTGCATAGTTGGCCGAGAAGTGCGTTCTGGCTACTAGGTACGACAATATATATATATATATATATATATATATATATATATATATATATATATATATATATATATATATATATATATATATATATATGTCGTACCTAGTAGCCAGAACTCACTTCTCAGCCTACTATGCAAGGCCCGATTTGCCTAATAAACCAAGTTTTCCTGAATTAATAGATTTTCTCTAATTTTTTTCTTATGAAATGATAAAGCTACCCATTTCATTATGTATGAGGTCATTTTTTTTATTTGAGTTAAAATTAACGTAGATATATGACCGAACCTAACCAACCCTACCTAACCTAACCTAACCTATCTTTATAGGTTAGGTTAGGTTAGGTAGCCGAAAAAGTTAGGTTAGGTTAGGTTAGGTAGGTTAGGTAGTCGAAAAACAATTAATTCATGAAAACTAGGCTTATTAGGCAAATCGGGCCTTGCATAGTAGGCTGAAAAGTGAGTTCTGGCTACTAGGTACGACATATATATATATATATATATATATATATATATATATATAATATCCTACTTTGGCTAGGTAAGATAGCTGTTATAAAAAACATAGCTACCTGCTATAGATAGCTTAGTATGTGTTACTAAGCACTTAACCACTGAAGGTGACAATAAGGTGCTTTTACAAGCTCAGGTTATAGTTACATCACAAACATTGTATAACTGATACATCACATAGTCAGTCTTGGGTACGAGCCCAGTGTACCATCAAGTGTATTCAGAAAAGGCTGCGTATCGAGAATGCTATAGGGTGTAAGGTGAGTCGCTGGGAAGCTGTGAGTGACAAGGGTACGCAGCTAAGCGGCTGCGAATTGAAGGGTCAGTAATTGGAAGGTTGAGGTCGCAGTTTATAATTAACTAGGCGGCTGTGGGTGCGCCATTATGGGTGGCCACTGTGGGTGACTGAGGGTTGCTACAGGTGGCTGCGAGTGGCAAAGTAGCCAGGTGGTTGTACGGGGTGGGAGAGCTAGGCAACGGTTCATAACAGCGTTGGCTGTTTTACAGGTAATCTGTATCTGTTTACATTCACTGATCAGTAGTAACTTTCCAGAAGACTATTGGCGTCATCAATAGCTGTTCACTCATCACCAGGAGGCAGCTTCTCAGTCAAACTTTCAACTTGACGACTTCACATAAGAAAACTTTCCGAAAGTTCAACCTTTTCTGACGACAGTTCCGGCATAAAACCCTCTGCCACCCTCTTCCTGACTGGTCCCGCGCCATGGCAGGTTTCACCCAAAGGCAGAACCCAGCCTCCACTGCTGACCTTTGAGAAATTATCGTGAGGTTATTTTGGAATGGGATATGGTCGTTCCGGCAACTGATAACATTTTAATGTTTGTAAATCCATACAAATATTCCTATTTAGTGTTGTAAAAAGCCTTTGAAGATTTTTAAGTGGCGTCATAATTTCTATGCCTCAATTTTCCATAGTAAAGAGCCAGAACTGTTATCCTTCTGGAGTTTGCCAATGTAACTAAGTTTGTTGTTAAATTTTAATTCTGTGTGTAACAATCACGCAATAAAAAAATATTATAATTTTGCGAATAGTTAGGTCTAGGTTAGGTTATTTGTTTTAGTGTTCTTCCCAATTATTTGAATATGATGAACATGGGTAAACCTTTCAACCCCTCCTCTGACCAAGTCCATTCCATCCAGCGGTCGACCCCAAAGACGGCAATTGTTAGGTTAGGTGTTTAGATTAAGTTGGCGATTATTTGTGTTTATAGTACGTGGGTGAAGCATTTACAGCATTGTGGTTTGAATAAAATTCGTCAGGGAACAACCCGTCCTCGACTCAAGTCCATTACATCCAGCGGTCGACCCCACAGACGTATTCATCAATTTTAACATGCTGTTCATTCAAAACAGAAATTTTCTCAAATATAAATTAATATTATAATAGAATATTGTGCACATATAGGCATAGGTTAGGTTAGGTTAGGTGTTTAGGTTCTGTTGGCGATTATTTGTATTTGTAGTACGTGGGTGAAGCATTTACAGCGTTGTAGTTCGAACAAAATTCGTCAGTGACGCACTTGTTCCGGAAGTGTTCGAACGAAATCAGTTGTGAGTCGTGTGTAAACCGTTTTTCATTTAAGCGTCTCTAAGGTCAAACCCCAGCTTTGGAAGAGCCTACCATGAAGACAGACGTGTAAACCATTTTCCATTCATAATCATGTATGGCTGGATTAACGAGCATTTGGACTTTGATGATGAGTATGATGCCCTCACAGCCCCGCTCCTGTGCCAAAAAGTTCCGCTACGAGCTCAATATAGTCCGTGCTACTTTGGAACGTTTTGTTCAGAGTAGCTGAATCTAAAACAACAATAACGGTGACGCCCTGGTACTTTGAATACAGAAAGTAACCAAAACACTGTTCTGGTAAAGGCTAACTTAACAAGAATTTGGCTAAGGCTTCTGAAGATGGGCTGCAAGTCTGGGTTGCTAATGCTTCATCCATTGTGAAACATAAACAACGCACACAATTGTAGCCAATTATTTGTAGTAGTGAATACAAATAATTGCCAACAACATACAGTAACCTAACATTCCCTAGGCCTAGCTCTTCGTAACTACAATATTAATCATATTAATCATACAATCATATTAATTTAGATTGGAGAAAAATACAGTTGTTATTACTATACACAGCTTGTTAAAGTTGACGAATGTGCCCTTAATGACAGCCACAGCAGAGGCGAAGGTTCCTTAAAGATGGCGAGTTGTTACTCTGTTATTACTTTAGTGCCGGAACGACTTTTACGATTTTAATGAAATTGAAGCGATTGTTATTTTTTATCGTTTTCCTCAAGTCACGGAAGAGGTAAAGGACAGTTTACTATAGGACTAATTACTTTTGTTTCTGAAATGATTGGTTGCTATTGTATAGATTGATCTTGAGGGCTTCTCTAGCTGTTATCTGCGCTTTTCTTTATAAAGACTAGGTTATGTTGATAGGCTAGGCAAGGTTAGTAAGTTAGGATCAGCTAGGCTATGTTAGGCAAAACTTTGTAAGATAGACTAGGCAAGGTTATGTTTGTTAGATAAGGTAAGTTAGATAAGGCTAGACTACGTTACACATGGTAGGCTGGGCAAATTTATGTTAGGCTACGCAAAGCTATTTTAGATAGGCTAGGCGATTTTAGATAGGCTAGGCGATTTTAGATTAGGCTAGGCTATGTTAAATATGCTAGGCTAGGTATATTTGTACCTGTAGGCTGTTAAATTTTTTTTATTGATATAAGGAATCAC